CAAAATACCCCATACGCTACACCGGGGGGATTACTCAGAGGTTGTCAGACATCGATTTCGCAGGAATGGACAAGAACGAGTGTTATGAGTTTATCGAAAGGCTCACTGGAGAAAAGTGTGAGAAGCTCTATTACTGCCAACTAGATATTCATTTTCCCAAAGGTTTGAACTTAATTTCCAATGAGTTGGATTATGTCGATTTCATAGCAATAGCTTATGAATGTGGTGTTATACTCCCTATGTATGTAGACCATTTTGGTAATAGTAACATGCCAGAATGGTTGGAAGAACACAAAGAAGAGGTTGTTGATAACATAGTGGAAGAAGTGATTGACGGTGCAAGACTAATTAAGGAAATTAAGACAGTCCATTTGGATGAGGATGAGGATGAGGATGGGGATGAAGATGAAGATGAGGATGATGATGACCATGGGACTGACGATGTGGATGCTAATGAAGACGAGGATGACCATAGAAGCCCTCATTCTTTCAAAAAGGATAATGGCCCTGATGTCGACATGGGTGAGAATGAAGCTTTGGGTGACCCTTTGGAAGAATCCATGGATGACGATGAAGAAGTTTATCCTCAGTTTCCAAATATTTTCAATGAAAAACTGCACTGGAAGGAGCAGGAACCTGTGTTAGGTATGAGGTTTGAGAGTCCTAAACAATTGAAACACATGCTCTGTAACTGTACTGTTGCAAATGGTTATCAATTATGTTTTGTGAAAAATGATAGTAGACAGCTGCTAGCCAAATGTTGTGATGGAAAATGTACATTTAGGGTTTGGGGTTCATGGATGACTGATGATAAGTCTTTCCAAATCAAGTCTCTTATTAATGACCATAATTGTTCAAAGAATTTCAAATTTGGATCAATTGTCACATATAGGTGGATAGGTACCCACATTACCCAACATTTTTTAACAATCAAAAGATGAGTGTGAGATTACTTAGAGGGGAGGTGAACACCACTTTTGGCCTTGTTGTAAGTATGAGTCAGTGTAGGAGAGCCAAGAAGTATGCATTGAGTCTAACTGAAGGCACGGTTGTAGAAAATTATGCTAAAATATGGTCTTACGGTGAGGAGATTAAAAGATCAAATCCTAGATCCACGGTTAAAATTTATGTGGATACAATGTCTGATGGTAAGAATTACTTAAACAAGATTTACATATGCTTTACTGCAGTTAAAGAGGGGTGGAGGGGAGGGTGTAAAAGGATCGTTAACTTGAATGGTTGTTTCCTGAAAACGTTTTGCCAAAGTGAGTTGCTTTGTGCTGTTCAACAATGGAATATTCCCAATTGCTTGGGCAGTTGTGTGTGTTGAAAACAAGGAGATCGAATTGGAAATGGTTCATTGAAAGTCTTTCAGAAGATTTGCAGTGTTGGAATGAAGGAAGTGGTTTGGTTTTAATTTCTGATCAACACAAGGTATGTTTGTAAAATATTAAACATAGTATAATAAATTTTAAAAAGGGGTAAACTACATGAATGGTCCCTGTGGTTTGAGGTAATATGCATGCTTGGTCCCTAACAACTTTTTTTTAACTCGAATAGTCCCTACGATT